TATAGATGTAAGTCATAAAAAACGTGTGGTTCAAGCAGAATACGATGATATGAACTGAACATAAAGTGGTACGAAAAAGTATTTTGAGAATGCCTCAAACGTAAGAGATCAAGTGTGTTGATTCTGCGTCTAAAACATTCGTGCTCTGAGATTGTAACGCAGTATCTGGTAACAGCCATCTGGAAGTTCTGCAAAATAAAAAGATTTGTAGAGGAACAAGACGTTACGGAAGTTTTCATAGGCCAACAATCTGGTCGTTGGATGTATGTAAATATGTTCTAGAGATCGAAGAAAATTTAGGAAATTGTTATGTTTTCAGTAAATTCTCAAGGTGACTAACAAATTGAAATTGGATAGGTACAAGAGCTTTGTCAGATCACAAACTCATCCGCACATCGTGCAAAAAATGGTTTAAGCATCATAACTTATAATAACGGACTAAGGATGTTTACGCGTTTTTGTGTGTATGTGTGTAAGTCTGTCTGTCTGTCACGAAATTCGTAGAACGTGTTCGAGCCAACCTCCTGAGCCCAAACTTTGCACAGCGCATGCTACGAACATGAGAGCCCACTGTACAAAAGCACTAGCTGAACCGTTGTGTGGATCCCTCAAAAAATGCGCATACTCGGATCCACTTGGCTCTTGTATACAAAAATTGAGCCTGTAGCACAACTTTTGCGAAGTCGCGGATATGTTTGACAAGTTAATGTGCAAGCCATGGACTTCAGCCTAAAAAATTGAACTAAAGTTTATTACTTTGTGAAAACTGCACCAAAAAGAATAGGTTGCGTAAATGTTCAATTTGCCAAGACTTTACCCGATCATTTGAGAAGATTTTTGCACGGAGATGTAACCCACGATGATTATTGTATCTTATGGCGAAAACCAAACCATGAAAAGTAAAGACCGATTCATACTTGCATTTGTTCTTTTGGGAAAAGTCTCATTCACGCGAAGTTACCATTCTAACATGGAGAAGCTTTTAAAATGAATAGTTGTTTATAAATCGTTCGTGATAGTCCGCCTATCGCGGTGAGTTTCAGTGTCACTTTTGTGCGGTAATGAGCAAGGCGTACAGATAGTAAGACCAGTGCGAGCCTCTGCGAAGCAGAGGTGACGCACTGGTAAATAATGGGCAACTTCCTTGTTTTTTGAACTGCAATGCTTACGAAGTGATCTATTAAACGAACGCTGACATAACCGCCTGAGTATAACCTTTTGTTCTCCTGTTTACTTTCTCTAATTTTCAGACTTTTTGTTTGTCAGCAAATAAGCCAATCTTTCTGCGATGCAACATTTTGTACCTTTTACCTTAACTCCAGGATTTCTACAATCCATTCTTCAAAGACCATTGCTCACATCTGTTTATTCATGCTTCTTGAAATACGAACTGGTAAACAATTCAGAAATCATGCGATGCAACGTTTGTATTTTCTGATAGCTGCACATTTTCTGCGCTTCATTAGATCGATTAATTTTGTGAAAAATATGCAAGAAAATGATAATATTACGACTGCTTTACATAATTTTAATATTACGAATGCTCGCTGTTACACCTCGTTCCGAAACTCAGAATTTGTAAGCGATAGCTCATTTGTGTACTAGTGATAACAATAATTAAGTGTGAGACCTCTAAATCTGGGAATAATTCAGCATCTGGTACAATTGGATATTATACGATTTTTTTCCAAAGCTTTGATTGAACCTACTTCCATTTAACGACTTTGGAGTATGAAAAACTTACCGAATGAGATCGCTTCGGAAGAGGTGAAATATTTCTTTTCTTCATACACTGTAGCATCTCGCCCAAGCCGTTTAGTGAAGAATACCTAGTCTGCTGTGTTATTATTATCAGGTTGTCCCATAAGTTCCGTCCGTTTTGGTTTTCAATCGCAGTAAATCATAAACTTCTTGTTCCTAGATAGGTTCCAAGGGAACATCCGATAGAGCAAATCAAGCTCTACAAGAAGGCTATCTCGCTTTTTGCACCAGCTCTGGTCCATCTCGAGATTTAAGGCGGAAACTAAAAAGATTCAACTGCCCGAAAAATCGAGGAAAAATCATAACTCCGTTTAAAAAAATCCTACAAAAATTCTAACTTGTTCGCACAAACCCTATCCATCTATAACATCTATTTATATACGCCGTTGCCGTATTTTTTGCTGGTCAGAAATCAAGAAAACGAAGATTTTCATACTTTTGCCAAAGTGATGCTGTGCTATTCCTACATAGATAAATGTATTATATATTACTAGTCTGTAGAAGTACAAAATTTTCAGCTCTCTATAAGCCTAGTTCGAAAAATATGGATTCTAGCGCAAGTCGCCCAACTAAGGCAAGCCATATTCAATAATTCTCGCGAACCAAAGCTTGTAGGGAGCTAAAAATTTGCACTTGTACTTCTAGAGGCTAGTAGTATACTATATATGTAGGAACAGCACAGCATTACTTTGGCAAAAACATGAAAATCTTCATTTTCTTGATTTCCGACCCGGAAAAAAATACGGCAACAGCGTTTTAGATGTCTCAAATGGATAGTATTTAAGCGAGCAAGTTGGAATTTTTGTAGGATTTTTTCAAACGGAGTTATGATTTTTTCTCGATTTTTCGGGCAGTTAAATCTCCACTCGCTTTAAATCTCGAAATAGACCAAACCTGATGCGAAAGCGAGATAGCCTTCTTGTAGAGCTTGATTTGCTCTACCGAATGGTACCTTGGAACCCATCTAGAAACAAGAAGTTTGTGACTTAATACGATTGAAAATCAAAACGGACAGAACTTATGGGACAACCTCATATTATACTTAGCCTGTGAACTTTGTTTAGAGGAGCTTCAATAATCGCACCGCTGCATCCAATCGTTTTGACATCTAATTGGAAGTAACTTCCAACTTTAAAGCTGGACTTTACTATACTGAATTTCTTCTATGAATGCAGTATCTGACGTAAGTCACATTTGTAAAGCTACTTGCGCTGTTTTGTAGCAGATCGCTGATCTGAATAGAGCAGAGTACCCTCATCTTGGCACGACGTCTGCTGTCATACCTCTAAAAGCTTTCCTCAGGGTTTGCAAACAAAATATTGCGTGCTTTTTTCTCAGCTGGTCTTTATATCAGGTTGGTGCATAAGTAATGCGCGTTTTGCGAGTTCTCATTTTGACGTGCTATAACATTCTCAAGATCTACATTTCCTGGTGCGATAAAGACTATCAAAGACAGCAAACTTTTGCAACACAGAGCACATCCTCCTATGGTCATATCACAGACGGTCAGAAAATTAACGATTAATAAGCAAAAGGTTTTTTCCTAAAACCTCGTTTTTAAAACTGATTATAACATCCTTGAAAATTTGTTAGCAAAAATGCAAAGTACCCTGTCTTGTACCGCAAGCCAGTATTACAAAATAAGAGAAGGGACTCAAGCAAAGAAAAAAATTCACAATTCAAAATTGCCAATTTTTTCAACATCTTTTCGTAGGCCTCAAAATCCCAAAACATGAAGTTTTTTGATTTGCGTACTGAAGAGCTGAATGCTTTGCAAAAAACTGTCAAGAGGTATACCATTACGCTTATAGAAACAAGCAAACTTTTGGCGATTGCGTTCAAAAAAAAAATTTGTGGGCCACAGAATGACCAAAACGACTACCCATGTTAAAGCGCTGATATCTCAGTCTAAATAAGTTTCAAGATGACAAAGTGTGAATAATGTAGACACTTCTACTACTTGCAGCAGCTGAAATTTCAAACGAATGCCGCCATCCGCGTTTGATTTCTGGTTAGAAATGCAAATGCATTGAAATTCTGATTTCGAGCACTTGTGTAAAGCTCTACATATCTTTGACGTGTGAAGTCAGAGTCAGACGCTTGTTTCAACCACCATCGGACAGAGCATGGAAAGAGCTTCTTCATGGTATGCTACATCTTTTCCAAAGAAGTTTGCCGGGGCTAAAAAAACGCGCGTTACTTTTGCACCAACTTAATAGAACTAGATGAGGATGTCGCTATAATATACCGTTTTCTCAAAATTCAAGAGAAATCAAAAGGCTTCTTTTTACACTGCGACATCCTAGACGTTAAAAATGTCACATTAGGTATAGCATGTTTCAATAAGAAGTCAGAGAAAGCACGGAAAAGATTTTTATCAGCAAGTTGCGCTTTAAGTGTGCCAAAAACGTGATTTGACATGATTTATATTTGGCTCATCATTTGAAAGTCTTGCAAAAAATTTGAACTTCCCTGAAGCTGAAAGGAATATGGTTGTTGGAGGGCGAATACGGTTGCGAATGAAGATACAATTCAAAAGTAAAAACATTCTCGACAACAAGCACGGAAGAGCGCAGCTTGATCTTCGAGTGTTGAACAACGTTACAAGCATGAACTAAATTCTGTATTTTAACTTGAACATCAAAAAGATGGCAACTTTCCAACTACATTAACTTAAACCAAAATAAACGGTCACCTTCTATCGAAGGAAAGGCTAAAAAAATTTTCTCATAATCACCATTCGTGCCGAGACTCTCAAAAATACAGGTGAACTTATCAGAATTATAAGCAGTCTTCTTAACAATTACTTGAAATGCGTGAATGAACCTAACGGGTGCGATTGAAATCGCTAAGTCTACAAAACAATGAAAAAATTCATGCTTTCGGCCTAAGGCATACTTCCCGCGATTCCGCGAACTCACTGCGTCCACGCAATTTGCCGATACCAGATTTGCAGGTCTGTGCGCGACTCCCAAATGCGTAAATGCATAGCTTCTGTGGGTTATCGCGAACGCAATAGGTCTGACCAAACAAAGCGGCGCATAAGACTAATTAACAAGTGTCGTTGCAGTGCTAGGCGTAGGCAGCGAGTAGAATCGCGTAAAGTATGCCTTAGACATTGAACACAAACCTGCAGAATTGTAGATTTTTCAACAAATCAGTTTGCAAATAGAAACACATATTTTTGAATATTTAATAAACTAAGTGAACGATGCCGAAAATAGAAATACGGGGTAAAGTTATACATTATTATCAACAAATTCTGGCGAAGTCCAATCCGGATGATGCCAATCTCGTTTATTCCAAGGCAAACGCTCCGCCGACGCTCCTGATATTTCATTCGGGTGTTGGTTCGGCAACGAATATGGTGATTGGGGAAACTGGGGAAGTACATGGTTTTCGTCTGATCCACGATGTCTTATTGGATATCTCGTGTGTCCTTGCGCCCATTCTCTTACCAACATCGATCTTTCCTTTTCCAATTTTATTTTCTTTTTCGCCTTCTCTGCATCCTCATGCCTGTGCCTGTTCAGGTCCTCATAGAACATGACAACATTTTCGAAGTAATCCATCCATCCAGGATCTTGAGGATGGGGCAATTCACTCTTGGATATGTTACAGTATCTCTTATCCGGTCTTTTCCTCGGGTCGCTCGAATTATCTCGAACCCTTTTCCAACACTCCATCATTTCGCTATCACAATTGCACAGGCCTACTCCACAGGAGCGCCACCAGGGAATCCAACTATATGGAGGATCAACTAAAAAGGAATGCCAGAATGATTGTTCATGTTTTGATGAGTAATTTTTTCGCGAATAACTGCTGCACTTACCATAACAGTACGCACGATGGTCTTCACAATGAAACCAATACGGAAGCAAGTACTCTGTTAGAAGATTGGGACACTGTTTGGGCTTCTTCTCTGTCTTTTCTGTCAAATTTCCATAGCAAAAATCGTGCTGCCTGCAGCATCTAAACAACAAAGCAATGCTCGCTCTTCTCAATCTTTTAAACAGACGCACGCATCGTAGTCATCCTCTGGAGCTACATCTCCGTGATTTCCGAATCCGCAATAGCATCCATGACGAAGGAGGTCCTGCAAAGTTGCAAATGAGAAAGTGAAAAAATTTGTATTTGAACAAAATTCGAAAGATACAAATTTTTACTACTAAAATCTTCTCATTTTTCATTTTCACTAAAACCCAGTAATGTAATTTACTTAAAACTCACAAACCAAGGATTGTAGCCCAGTATACATTTTCCGACCGTTGTGAAGTCGTACAGCGAAGCATCAACGGTGATCAACGCATACGAGAAGATGAAGGCAGTTATAATATGCATAGTGGTCTGACCCTAGTAATTAACAACATAAGATGGAAAGTTTACCCTATGATTCAACGGAATTGACGGCTGGAAGACGACCGATTTCGCTCGCGACGAAGCGCGTCTCTGTCGCAGCTGTGCTCTCTGATCATTCTCTAGCTGTATTTTGGCCCTGAAGCCCTACCTTCCAATCGCCAATCCAGTTGAATCGAAGCATAGTAGCGCGCTATGGTTCGAGCGTTGGGTTGACGGCATGATTCAAATTCTATGCGATGAAGTAGAAGAGATATTGCTTAGAAATTGGAAGGGCACAAAAGCAAAAACTTATTAAAAAGTGGGAAAATGTGGGTGTGGTTAAGCAAAGAATGATCCAAGATAAATAGCAAGAAAGAAGAAAAATAAGTGCGTGATGTTGAAATGCATGCGACTACGTTGAATGTCCGTGTATTTATTTGCAAAAAATGATTAGTCCAAGTACTTTTGTACGAATTTCCAAATGCTCTTTGATCGGGGCACATTAGAGAGCACTTGTCAGTCGGATATGGACTTTTTTCCAGTAATGATTGCAGTGGCCAGATGAGGGTAAGGGTAACTCTGTTCAATAAATCGTTTGGTTTCTATTTTACTACAGCTGCAAAGCTTAAACGAATAATGTAAGGCTGCTGTTTGCAGCCTGATTTGTAGGCAAAAGTGATAAGTAGAAAGGAACCATTCAGAAAGTAAAAAGCACAGAGCGCACTTTTAAAAATAGCACATGGATTTTTGCTGCGTTGCACTGAGCAGCGACCATCTCTTGCAAATCTTTCAGCATATTGTCGACTTTGATATTTCTAATTTGCTGGAATGTTATGAGCAATGGCAAGATTAATAGTTTCCTGTTTTGTATCTCTGTCAAATATAATGACAGAGAGCCTCACACTTGAATCATAACTTTTTGTCTTTAAAAAAATGGTACAGCTATTATCATGAAAGCGTACTGAGCGCAATTTTTCGCATTCAAACGTTTACGGAATTTTGTGTTTTGCATCCTGAGTCTGCTTTTATGTGGGAAAAGCTTGTAATTTGCGAAACTAGTTTTCTATGCTTATCGCAAGTTCGCTCATGTGACGCCACGAAAAGGCTAATTATTCTAATAGTAGGAAAACTTGGAACTGCGAAATCTCTTTTAGAAGAAAATGAAAAGAGAATTGTAATAAGTTTTCATAAGCAATGTTTCCATTTTTTAAAATCACTTTCTCCGAGCTAAAAGGAAGTTTTAGAAGAACAAGAAAAAGAAGAAGCAAAACTGTTTGCAAGTTTTTTTTCAAGTTTTTTTGCAAGCAAGTTTGATTTAGTTCAATGAAAGCCAAAAAGTGCTTTCAAATTTCACCGAAAAGCGTTTCAGGATAATGTGGCGTTATCTCATTGTAAAGTGCATTTCAATCATTTTTGAGTGCGAGGATAAAAGTCTCGTGACTATCACATGAGGGTTGCAGAGTTTTGCTTGAAGTCCTCTGTAATCCGTTTTGGCTCGAAAATTCGCGGACATTTTCCGATGCTCTACTCTCTTTTTTGCCTGTAGCTGATATTCAATCAAGTGGTAGTAGCCCAGGATCAATGGGGGTGGAGATTGGCGCTTTTGAATTGCCTTGTTTTTCTTGTTGTTTGACTGAAATTACATACAAAGTGTGTATGTAAGCATGTACAGGCTGCTGCATGACAAAGGCGCAAGACCTTTCAGGAACGCGGCTTCATTAGCCTCAGAGCGCTTGAGACGCATGATTTACAATGGTGAAGATACGTGCTCGTCGCCTTCGCGCCTGCTTAACGAATACTGCTTCTGCGTCTTCGTCATGCAGTAGCCTTTAAGTATGTGTTTACATAAAAATTGGAGCATATGGGAGATTCATAATGTCTACAAAAATTGGAGATTTGGGTTAGGCGAAGATCCTATGCTTTGGAATGTTTGCCTGAATTTTTAGAGAAAAAACTGATAAAGCATATGCTTGCAAGGGAATTTAGAAGTCGCATTGGCCAATCCAGCAAGCTTCACCATTCGTTGTAATATTCAACGCTAATGTCCATATCCACATTGTTGCACTTTCAGTTCGCCTTTAGGCTTCAACAATATAAAGTAACCTAGCTGCATGTTTTGGCCAAGCATTAAGCCGAACATGGCTCTGTAGTGCTAAATTTGCGCTTTGCTGGCACGATTTCTTAGCAAAATAACGCTTTCAACATTCAACTTCTGCTACTTCGCCACATAGGCGCTTAGCAGATGTGAATTATTAGGTTGTTACAAAAGTCTTGTTACTCCTGACGGCGAGAAATCATGCACCTCATATTCTTTACAGGACTTCAGGATACCATTCGATAGAGCAAAGCAAGCTCTACAAAATAGTGCGCAAAAGTTCACACCAACTTTGACCCACTATAAGTTTGCATCCAAAATCTGAGTCGTACTAAACGCTCAAAAATTGCGAAAAATTCATATCTTTGTTCAGAAAAATCTTACGAACCTCCAACTTGCTCATAAAAATTGCACACTATATCAGACACTCATATGTACCGTTGCTGTATTTTTTCCTCATCTAGAAATCGAGAAAACGATAATTTTCTTGTTTTTAGAAAAACGAAGCTATGCTGTTCCTATTCATGTAGCTGTATACGACAAGCCCTTAAAAGCCGTAAATTTTCAGCTTTCCAAAAGCCCTAGTTTTCGAAATTTACCTAATTTAGCATTGAACATCCGAGCGAAAAAAGCTAAATTCGGAATTTTTCGGAAATCAGGGTTTCTGGAAAACTGAAAATTTACGGTTATACATCTAAGGTCTTGTAGTATACAGCTACATAAATAGGAGCAGCATAGCTTCGTTTTTCTAAAAACAAGAAAATTATCGTTTTCTCGATTTCTAGATGAGGAAAAAATACAGCAACGGTACATATGAGTGTCTGATATAGTGTGCAATTTTTATGAGCAAGTTGGAGGTTCGTAGGATTTTTCTGAACAAAGATATGAATTTTTCGCAATTAGTACGACTCAGATTTTGGATGCAAACTTATAGTGGGTCAAAGTTGGTGTGAACTTTTGCACACTATTTTGTAGAGCTTGCTTTGCTCTATCGAACGGTATCCTGAAGTCTTGTAAAGAATATGAAGTGCATGATTTATCGCCGTTAGAATTAAGTGTAATAAGACTTATGTAACAACCTAATACAACGAAGTCAGCGTTCTTTTTCATCTGATGATAAGCTTGTTTGGGATTGATCACTTCGATTTCCGGCCACACTTTTGTTAGCATAATCCTGTGAGGATTTCCTCTTCCAATGGTGAGCAATATGCCCAAATCAATACTTACATCGAAGCAGAAACTTTGTCAAATTGCATTGTCCGAGAACTTTCGAGCCAAGCTTATATGACCAAAGCTGAACGGCCGCAATTTTCTTTCACAAATATCATGCTTTTGTCCACTCTATGCCAAGAACGTTTTTTAAGGCTTTCCTTTTACAGCATTATACAACAAAACAGACCACCACTATCCGCATTTTCAGAGATATAGTCATTATTGTGTCACATCAGTCGAGAGACATGTAATAGAGATTTAGAATCAGGACCGGGCATAAGATTTGCAGAAGTTAGGCTGGACATCGTTTCTGAGACGACAAGGGTATCGTGAAACATGCTATGCAGAGTTATGAGCATCGGACGAACACAGGCACAAAAAACAACTTACAGTGCAGTTAACACGCTCTATGTGTATTAGGTCATCTCAAAACTTTTTTCGTTTTTTTGAACTTTTGACATTGGTGCCATATTTTCGAGAGAGTCTAAAAGATCTAATGGGGGTTGCTACATATGGATTTGTACTAGTTTTCGGAGATTCCACCAAACATGCAGAAATCACCTTGGAAGTTTGTATGGCTATGAAGTCGACACGTGATTTTTGATTGATCGCAGGTAGTCGAAAGAGCAACCATAAAGTGCACTGTATTTAGCAGGGATATCTCTTTGTTGTGGTGCAAGACCAGTGCAAAAAATTTGGATTTGGGAAACGAAGAGCCAAAATTTCGCAATTTTCTGGAAGGTCATTTGCTATCCAGACGAGTATTTCAAAGGAATTTCTGGGGCAGACGCAAGTGCAGCTGTGCAAAATAATCAGCAGGCCTTAAGGCGTCATGCAACCCCGTTGTAAGGTACCTTGGCAAATTCCATATACAAGATAATCTTAGCAAAGAAATACCCTACAAAGTGTCGGATTCGCAGTTTTGAAGCGCTTCAACTTTGCATTTGTTATTCGTAATTCCGTGAAAAACTACCATGGCTTGAACCTTATCGCCTGTAGCAAAAAGTAGTTTAATTACGATTATAAGAAACTAGCTGGCTTACCCGGCTCCGCCGTATCCGGACCAAACTTGGCACACATACACTTCGGGCCCTGGCGGGTGTCACAGTCCACTTTTCGTTATCGATCGATGTCGATTTTACCGATTTTTATCGATTTTTTTGCAGAGTTCACTTACAGGGCTAGGAGTTGGCACAGGGGGCGAAGTGAGCATGGGGATTCCGAATACAACATTAGTTTTCAGGATCGTCCATTACTTTTATCGATTTTATCGATTTTTTTTGTAAAGTTTGACCTGCGGGGCTGGGAGTTTGCACAGGGGGGTAATCGAGCATGCTGATTACGAACACAATATTAGTTTTCAGGATCGTCCATTACTTTTATCGATTTTATCGATTTTTTTTGTAAAGTTTGACCTGCGGGGCTGGGAGTTTGCACAGGGGGGTAATCGAGCATGCAGATTACGAACACAATATTAGTTTTCAGGATCGTCCATTACTTTTTCGATTTTATCGATTTTTTGAAAATTTGAGCTAGGGGGCTGGAATTTGGCACAGGAGTGTAATCGAGCATGCTGATCACCCCCCTTGGGGGTGATCAGCATGCTCGATTACCCCCCTGTACCAACTCCCAGCCCCCTAGCTCAAACTTTGCAAAAAAATCGATAAAATCGATAAAAGTAATCGATAATCCTGAA